TTTCATTGCAGTGAAAAATAATTCAGTGTCTCATCCAGATCATGTCTGTCCTGAATGATATCATAAGCTTTCCCTGCAAGAGATTGACAGCACTTCATCCCTTATGTAACTTTTCTTTAAACTAAATAAGGACCAGGTCTGGGGTAGAGGGATGGATGAATGGATGGATAGATAGACAGACAGACAGACAGACAGACAGACAGACAGACAGATAGATGATAGATGATGATGTTGTTGATGATGATGATAGATAGATAGATAGATAGATAGATGAAAGATGATGATGATGATAGATAGATAGATAGATAGATAGATAGATAGATAGATAGATTATATATAATCAGCCGAATTGTGAGAAAATGTAACCTGAAAGCCTATTAAACATGTGTAAATATGGCATCTGATGCCCCCTTGAAAGTAAGGGTGATTGGAGAAGCATTCTTTTCTTGAACTTAGTTCCACTCTAATATTTTTAGTGTACTATATATTTTTCCATGTGTTTTCTTTGAACAGTTTTTGCCATTTGAAGTTTCTAAAGCATTAAAATGTTATTTCAAAAGCATAAAATTAAAAGTGATCAACCTGTGTAAAAGAAAACTGTGCTGCCATCATTGGTGCCAAATTCTGTTTCAGGAAAGAGTCTGCAATGGGCACTCTATTTCTGGTGACTCAATCCCAGAGTCAGATGACTCAATCATCTGAGAAGGAATTCAGTGGCTCCTAAGGCCAACCCTTCAACTGAGAAATTAAATGCTGATAAATTGGCTTTAGGTTCCAACCTTGTCTAACTCTAGCCAACTGTGCTAGAGTCCCTTGGTGAGTCAGAGTGGAGAGCAAGTGAAAATGCTGCCTAAGTCAGGGCTCACCTGCAAATTTCAGACATGTTTGTGATCTGCCAGGACTTTCAGTTGTATATTTATTGAGATGTTCGTTAAAATGCTGTCTTTTGAAAAAAAGAAATCTTCACAAAACTTAAATAGAACCTAATTGATTCATGAATGACATGAATTTTTACCTTAAGCAGGAATTATTCTACATACTAGAGGACCAGTACATGAATTCATGCACAGGTGGAGTCTGGCTGACCCTCCCTGATTGGGCCAATCAGACCAGGCTGGCCCCACCCACAGTCAGGATAGGGGGGCCAATCAGGGGCAGGGCCAGTCAGGGGAAGGGACCTTTATAGCCAACTTAAAATGTCAATCCAAAAGATAGGGATGATTTTCTTGTGACATGTATAAAACTAAATTACATATATTTATGCAGTAAATTTAATTAATTCCCACACACTTAGAATTTATAAGTATTCTAATGTTCTTGGCACTACATATAAGACGAAATTATGTTTAGGTGATATACTAGTATAAACAAAAGAAATATTTATACATACAAAAGCTAACAGCTTCCAAGTGTTATTTAAGTAATAACTCTTATACTCAAAAAAATAAATGTCTAACTTATAAACAATATGTTAAGCACTGCCAAGACTGAATGTGTCCGTAGAACTAAAACTAATACTCTAAAGTGATTATAGCAAGCATCATTACTATTGATAAGTAAAGGATAATAGTGTCGATGGTGTTAAAAACCATAGGTTCCAAAGCTATACTACCTGAATTCAAATCCCGGTTATATTGTTTGGGAGCTCCTCATCTGTACAAAAAATAATAATAATGTTGCAGTTGGTGGAAAGCAATGAATGACAGCCCTCTGTCCCCCCTATGCAATGGCCTAAATACTTATGTTCCCCCAAAATTAGTAGGTTGAAACACTAATCCCAGTAGTAGGAGCTAGAGCCTTTGGGAGGTAATTAGGTAATGAGTGTAGAACCCTCATGAATGAGATTGGTGTCTTTATACAAAGAGGCCAGAGAGCCAGCTAACTTCTTTCCACCACGTGAAGTTAGGACAAGAATCAATCTTCTATATACATCCTAGAAGAGTTGCCCAATCAGAATGGACAATACTGATACTCTGATCTCAGACTTCCAGCCTCCAGAACTGTGGAACCCTCCCAAGCTCCCTCCCAAGCTCTCAACCAGACGAGAGAGAGAAGAGCTGGAAGATGCAGACCAAAATATGGCCTTTATTAGGAGAAAGGCTGAAGAATATGGACCTGGGTTTCTTAGCCAAAAGGGCTTTCTAATCTGCACCCCCAAAGGTTGGCATACTTATCTTCCTACTTGCTGGCAGCACTGGGAACCCAAGCCCAGGCTGTATCAAATCTGCCTCCCGGGGGAGGGGAACATAGGTTCCCACAAACAAACAGCTCCTAAGCTAAAGGGAGGAAGGGGCTCAGCTGGTACTCCACTTCCTCTCCACCAGATATTCCTTGGGGAACTCACCCCATTTCCATGGAGATGAACAAGGAATGAGATAAAGGGTCAATGGTATTTCAGGGAAAATCCCTCTTTGTAAAAACTAGAGGAGCCAGGAAGAAGTGTTCTCATGCTGCCCTTTGTTTTGTTTGAGAATTAAATGAGATGATATATATATATATATATATATATATATATATATATATATATATATATGTATAGATATATAGATATAGATATGTTGATATATATTGATATATTGATATATATTGATATATATAGATATATATAGATATATAGATATATAGATATATAGATATATATTTTTTTTTTACAGAGAGGAAAGGAGAGGGATAGAGAGTTAGAAACATCAATGAGAGAGAAACATCAATTAACTGTCTCCTGCACACACCCCCTGGGGATGTGCCCGCAACCAAGGTACTTGCCCTTGACTGAAATCAAACCCCGGACCCTTCAGTCCACAGGCCGACGCTCTATCCACTGAGCCAAACCAGTTAGGGCATTGTTCACCAAGTTCCCTTTGAGTGTTTCAACAGCATGAGGCAGTTTATCATGCTTTTTGTACAACAGGGCATAGACATTTTAAAGAATGAATTTAGAATTCCTCTTCCTGTCCAAAAAATAAGCAGTTCTCAGGCTCCTGGTGTTAACAGTCTTGTTGAGGACAGTTGGACCAGCAAAATCAGAGACCCAAGTGACCCAAATCATAGGCCGGCCTCCTGTTGCTTTTTTCATCTCACTTCATTTTCCTTTTGAAAAAGACCCAATTAAAAACATTTGTGGGTTCTTCTAAGGATGTTTCCTTCACAGAGCTTACATTGAGCTCTTTGGAGGGGTGGGGGAAGATCAAAAAAACAAATTCCTGAGCAATTAGTGGCTCTGGGGAACCACTAGCTGTTTGTGTCCTATTTGGTAAGAGCCCATTGTGGACATCCGTCTCTACACAGAGGTTCCCTTCAGCATGCAGATGCTTCCTAATCATTTGGAATATGCTTAAAATTTCAATCACAATCATGCCCTCACAAGGATTCCTTTATTATGTATTTTAGATTAGAAGACATCGTGAAATCATACAGTAAGGACACTATTTGTTTGTTTTTCATCCTTCTCTGCTCACTTCCAACTTGGCTCTCGTTTCTCTTTAACATTCAAGAATGTCCCTCTGATATACTTGCAGAAAACCTGCTGCCAAAATGAAGGAATATATATAGCTGCACGTAAGGTAGTCATTTCCTAGGTGACATTCTAATAAGAAACCCATTTTTGGGTAATAGCCGAATTGGAACTAATTCTCCATTATCCCTTGTGGTCAGAAAATAGCATGTCCAAATTCATCAAACGTTTCAGGGCTTTGTATAGTCTACTATTTAGTGTAACTATGGTGTTACATCTCATAGGATGAATAATTTGTAAAGAATTAGAAGCAATTAATTATAAAACCAAGAGGAATAGTATTTAATTTTTTATTGACAGAGACATTAGCCTAGGATCTTGCAGGTACTTCTTAGTCAGGATTAGGAACAGCTGTTTGTTTTCAGTGGCTGTGCAAATCGTGCAGGTTAATAAGGTTCTGGCTAATCGAATGCCAGAAAACAGAATTTATTATAGCATTCAAGCATTAAGGCAGAGCATAATAATACCTTTCCAAAGAAACCAACAGAGCCTAAGCTATTTTAATGGCTTAAATTAATCTTAAACACACTATAACTTTCGGGGGCCCCAGCCTTTCAAAAATAAAACCGCTAAGTAGAAGTTCGGATAGGGCAAAGAAGAAAATGTATATTTTGATAATACATTGTCAGAAAATAAAATGTGTTATGCAACAGTTACCTAGAGACACAGCTTTAAAAAGGATAGGATTTATTTTAAAATTGGATTTTAATCAGAGATTTCACTTATGTTTTGAACACTTTTTAATGCAATTGTTTTATTTTTCGGTACCTATTATATAAGCATTCATATTTTCCAAACATATAAATTATAAAAATATTATATCTGTCACTTTAAGAGAAGGCAAACAAAAAGGGAGTAAAGAGTCCAATACATATTCCAGTGCCTGTGGCCATAAGGACATCTGGAGTACACTGCTGCTGGTCGTCATGGACACTGGCTTTTTATATATATTGTTTTATTGATTTCAGAGAGAAAGGGAGAGAGAGAGAGAGAGAGAGAGAGAGAGAGAGAGAGAGAGAGAGAGAGAGAGAGAGAGAGAGAGAGAGAAACATCAATGATGAGAAGGAATCGTTGATCAGATGCCTACTACACAAGCCACTTGGGATCAAGCCTGCAACCTGGGAATCTAACCATGACTTCCTGGTTCATAGGTCAATGCTCAACCACTGAGCTATGCTAGTCAGGCCAGATGTTTCTTTGGGGGGACAGGAGGGCTGCTTTTAAGTTAAAGTGTGTGTGTGTGTGTGTGTGTGTGTGTGTGTGTGTGTGTGTGTGTGTGTGGAGGGGGAGGTAGGGGAAGGACAATCCATCCCAGGTAAGATGCTAAAATAAAATGTATGGCCCTAGCTGTTTTGGCTCAATGGATAGAGCATTGGCTTGTGGACTGAAGGGTCCCAGGTTCGATTTTGGTCAAGGGCACATTTAAAATGTGTGTGTGTTTTTTAATTTATGTTAATTCCTTTTTTTTTGTTTTTGCCCTCTCTCTCAGCGGCCTGCCTTGTGCTTGGCTGTATGATCTTCCCTGATGGCTGGGATTCAGAAGAAGTAAAACGGATGTGTGGAGAAAAGACAGACAAGTACACCCTCGGGGCTTGCTCTGTCCGCTGGGCATACATCCTGGCTATTATTGGGATTCTGGATGCCCTGATCCTCTCGTTTCTGGCATTTGTGCTTGGTAACCGACAAGACAGCTTGATGGCTGAGGAACTGAAGGCTGAAAACAAAGGTAAGATTGCTTTGGAAAACTGTTACCTGGACGTCTAAACACAAAAACAATATTTTCTATTATTTCCTATCAAGTATCAGTGCTTCCTCTGTGGCTCTAATTTGCTACATCTTTTAAATGCTATCTAGTTTCCCCCACACTCAACTACAGAAGTTTCCACAATTAAAATATTTCATTTTTACATTTACCTTTCTGAAGCTCTCTGAGTCCACTATTATTATTTAAATACATTTTTCCAGTTTCTTCTCTTCCTTGAGTTAATGGCTATGAATAGAACTTTGTTTTGTCTATTTGACTAAACTGTTCACAATCACTTTATTTGAATTCAGACTCATTCTCTCAGAGAAAAGTAATAATACTGGCCCAGAAGTTACAGTTAGGTATTTAAGTCATTACCCAATTAGCTGAATTTTCAATGTGTTATCTAGATAATCAAAAGTCCTCAGACTTTTCTCAAAAATAAAATACCTTCTGAAACACAAAGAAACTAGGTTATAAAACAGGACATTGACTGGTGTATGATACAGAAATATTATAGTAGGCCAATAAGGTATCAAATCATTATTCAAGATGAATCTTTTAACTTTCTTTCTTAGATTTCTAAACCAATTTCTTGGGATAGAATTTACTGTCTCTGTACAGACTTAGATTCATTTAACTGTTTTTCTATTTATATTATCTTTAACTTTAACACTTTAAACTTATATCAGTACCTTCAATTGAGTGCTTCCTTCTTCCTGGCTTTTATTTCTCATTGGGAACTAAATCCGTCTTTGAATTATGAAATTTAGTTTATTTCAAGTAGTTGCTAACATCAGAGACTCTTCACTGCTTCAACAAGCCTCAAGCATAGATTAGTGTCTATATGAATATCTCAAATAGTGATAGTGTAGCATGTAGGCCATCACTGTTTATGCTTATAAACTATGAACTATGAGGAGAGAAAATTGAGAAGTCTGGGAAAGCAGCAAGGTTCATCCACAAATGCTTTATCTCCATGATTTATAGACAGAACACATATTAGTTTACTTGGCTCTGTCAAAAACATCCTAAACACAAAAAATAACCTTTACACAGGCAAGCTACTTCTTAAAAATGCAACTACTTTCAAAATAAAAAATGATAATGTGAAGTTAGGTATTATACTTTATAAAGCATGTAACAAATTTAAAGTGCTCTCATATGTGTTCATTAATTTGGGGACCTTCTCTGTTATCTCTGGACTTGTTGGATGTACACAAGTGTCTGTCCAGTAATGTCACTTCAAAGTTCATAAGGACAGCTCAATATCCAAATAAGTTATCTTGCCCTAGAAAATGAGCTCAAGAAAACACCACTCTGTTCCACAAACTCTTGATCTCCATGATCCAGCAATGTACCAGAATGCTCTTTTTTCACTGCACAACTCAAAGTTATACTGAGAACCTTTAACTTTCCAGACATCCTATAACCACAAATTAGGTGAAGAAAATTCAAAAAAGAGAAACAGGAAGATTTTTTCTTGGCAAATGGAAATTCTAACTCCTGTCCACATGTACAAGTAACAACAATTCTGAATTCGTGCTTTAGAAAGGAACAGCTAGCTTGATAGGATAACACTGGCCAGTTTTCAAAAAGGGTCTTTTCTTTTGGTTGACTCAGTTAAATGTTGATTTCTAATCCTTTCTGTTTCGGTTTTCGTCAAAGAAAGCATCTTGTCCCATTCAATGATATATTGGAAACACTTTAGTAAAAGGGTTGATGGAAAAGAAAGTTAAGAGGCCAATATAAGGTTTACGGACAGTGTATCATTTTTTCTGTATTCATGATCTTCTCCATTGTGTGTATTACATTTGCATGTATCCATAGTTTATTCCATTTGATTTGAAGGACTAAAATCAGTAATGGTATCAAGTCAGATTTAATAAACTAGCAAAGAGCATCCGGCCACACTGGTGATACCAATTGTACCACACTTTTATTTCACAACTAGAATTCCTTTACCTGGAACTCTGAGAAGATAACAGCTGCTCTACTCTGCAGGCAGCTCAGATCCTTGTACAATAGGTTCTGTATACAGTGAGATCGGAATCCTAAGCCTTATAGAAAATCAAACGTGCATGTTTCTGAAAAATGATGTAAGGTTTATAGTTGCTGTTCAAAGTAGCATTTATTATTTGGTATTATTTAAACACTTGTTCCATGTGAAGCTTCCAAAGTTAGATTGCTTGAGGGAAGACCAATCAGTGATTTTGTATGTTTGTGCATGAACATAGTTTCAATAAACAGTAATTTCATGGCTTTCAAGTGCATGCAATAACCCAAACTAAGTACCATTAATATTCTATAGATTATAAGGGAAGAAATAGCTGTAAGATAAGATTAATTTGTAATTATGAAATTGATTATAAATGGGTGTGTTTATGATTTGCATGGATATAGTAATATAACTTTTAACTTATTAAGACATTATTTTTCACTATTAATTTTTTCTGAAAAAACTATAAAATATCTCTTGGTCATCAAGGCCTCTTTTGTGTTCTAAGGCAATTCAATGAGACAGAGGTAAAACAAACTCACAAAATTTTAGAAGAGTTTTGTAACTCCATCACGCCTTCTGGTATCATGGAAGCAAATAACACCATATCTCAAGCCTTGATGCGGAATGTAATACATCATGCATTCTTATATTCATTACTAGGGACCTGGTACATGAAAATTCATACACGGGGGTAGGGGGTCCTTCAGCCCTACCTACACCCTCTCCAATTTGGAAGCCCTCACGAGAGCCCTCTTCAATCCGGGAGTTTCTGACTGTCTTTGCAATCATATGAGCGAATTGTCTGAGACCCCAACCCAGTTTCGTTTGTTGCTCACCGAATAATAGAGGCTTTTGTTTTTCTTTGCTTCATTGGTAGAGATTTCCTGGAAGTTTAGGAAGTTTTTCCTAGACACTCTGACTTTACTTATGTCTCTCACCTTTGCTTTCCCTCCATCCCCCAGCACAACAGTAACTTGCTCTAGGCTCACTTTGCTCTAGTGTTTAGGAGATCCATCTGCCACCAGAACTATGATTCCCAGCATTCCTGGTGCTCCGGTGGCTCTGGGCTCCTGCTTCCAGTCCTGGGGCTTCAACCAGAACTACTATGCCCAGAATTCCTGGTGCTCGCCATGCTCTTGGTGTTCCCTTCCCTCTCTGTCTCCACCCACAGTCTCCTGCTCTGCCAAATCCTCCAAGATGCCAGCTCTCCATCTGGCAGCTTGGGGAGCCAAGTTCCCCAAGATGCTTCACTCTCCGCTGGCTCTACCGCTCTGCTCTCTGCCCAGTTCCTGTGTATGCAAATTAACCCACCATTTTTGTCTGGTTAATTTGCATACTCCTGATTGACTGGTGAGCGTATCAGAGGTATGATCAATATACATATTTCTCTTTTATTATATAGGATATTACCATATACACTATAATATCTTTTAGAGTCTTCCAGTTTTATGGTCTGTTGATCATCCTAACTTATCCTATATAATAGAAGTGTAATATGCAAATAGACCGAACAGCGGAATGACCAGTCGGTGGGAGATGGGGCCAGCACCAGGCCAGCCAAGGAGTGTGCCAGAGGGCAGAGAGAGGGGATGGCAATGGGGGTGGGGGACAGTGGCAACCAGTGAAGGTGGATGGGTGATTGGGGGGAGGGACCATCCCCTGATTGGCCCGCCCAATAGCCTCCCACAGAGGAAGGCCAGACTATGGCTTAGGCCCACTCCCCACGTCAATTGGACATCCCCTGAAGGCTGCTTGACTGCGAGAGGGCACAGGCCAAGCTGAGGGACCCCACACACACACCCTAATAACCTATAATAAGTAACAAGAGCAGCATAGAGAGAATAAACCTATAAATATTGCATATGCCCCTGATTCAAAGAAGTTTGTCTTAAGTGGTCTCATGTCCTAAGTGGTTTCATGTCATGATCATATATATATTTTTTTGTGGTTTTTTGTAATTAATGTAGCAACAACACCAAATGGGTTCAGGTTTTCCATGTGTCATTACAAGGATATTGCTTAAGTTGATGAGTCCTTTCTGACAACCACCCAATGGACAAAACAAGAATTACCATTACATGAATTCTAGAATATACTAAAGAAGGGGAGAGAACTCAGTTCTAATTGAGCAATTTTCCACTCAGAGTCTTAAAATAAGAGGGGATATAGGATACTGCTGAGCCATAAATTAACTGTCACAGAGATGCTATTCAAAGGGAAAATGAGGGGGAGATACACGGTGAATGACTCGGACTGTATAGACAGACCACTGCTCCTTCAGATCAATTCCCAGTGAACTCACCCCAATACCATTTCAATGTCTCCCTTCAACACCTCCCACAACATTCTCTAAGCCCTCCTTTTCCAGGAGTGCAAAGTTAAATTAAAAGAGGTCTTTAGCTAAAATATATCCTAAAATGTGAAATGGCAAAATTGGAATGAGTTTGAAGACACAACAATAGAAAGCAACAATTCTGATGATGCAGTGTTGTTTTAGAAGGAACTTCTGTAAAAGATAAAGCTAATAATCTATGATGCTCCTAAAGTCCCAGAATATTTTCTCATAAAAGAAAAAAAAAAAAGAAGAAAGAAACAACACTGAAAAACAAAGAGAAATGAAAACTCTATAAATATTCAACTAACTTTATGTAGGAGCTGATGCATGCAAACTCTACTGCCAACTCTGATTTTGGGGAGTCCCCCTGGGGGCTGTGTGCTGTCCCTGGCTCTGGGGATAACAGCGGACAGGCAGGCTGTTCATTCTTGTTTGGGAGTTCGGCAGCGTGATTCCTAAATGAGCCAACAGCAGTAGGCATTTCACCCTGGAATGCTGCTTAATTGCACATTTTAACACACTGAACTGTGAAGTCAATTTAATTATGTAAAATTAAAGTTTCATCCAGATACAAAGGATTTGAAATGAAAGCTTTATTTTCAACTTCTTGCATTAGTTGTAAATAATTACATTCTCCATAGCTTC